AGAGAGAGAGAGAGAGAGAGAGAGAGAGAGAGCGAAAGAGAGAAAGACAGATACAAAGATAGTATGAAAATGCATTTTCAAACTTCGTTTTTGGAAACGAAACACTTAACCCAAAGTATTTTCACCAATGTTTATTGGAAGGAGCCCCATTGATCTTCGGCTCTTTGCAAGTGTAACGTACGACGTCTAAGGAATGTGGGCGGAAGAAGAGGGTGAAAGAGAAATGGGACAGGAAACAGAGAAATATACCGAGTTCTCAGAAAAGAGAAATCTACACAAATACGGCAAAAAGAAAATTTAGAAGTGAAGGAGTTTGACCAGGCCATATCGAGACTTCACGTTGAGAGATTTGGGTGCTTTTAAAGTTTCTGTTTTGTTTTGAACTTTGTTATGTTTATTGAATAAAACAAAAGTGTACTCGTAGCCATTGAAAATAAATATGAAATAGAACATAACAGAGGAGAACATGCCAAAAAAGGGACTTGAAAATAGTTTACGCAAACGAAAATACTGAAAGACTGGCGTCCAAACAGGTTCATCCAAGAACCATGCCCACACAAATTAAATGTTCTCATTTTCACAACAGTATTTTCCGACGTCTTGCCAATTCTATGCTCATAATCTCAGCCTCATTGGCACAAAATATGCCATCAATGACAAACGCCACTCGACATCGCAGATAAATGCTTGTCTTCCAGAGGGGCTGCTTCTTCAGAGAGCATCAAAGCGAAGTAGCCGACAAGGCCACCGTTCTGGGGAATGCTTGGCGTAGCCATTGACACCTTTTTTTTGTCTCATCTCAGGTATTTCTGGTGCCTCTCCTTCATACCGCTGTGAGTGAGGAGCAATTGAGAACATGTGCATGTGGGGTATTTTCGTGGTTGTGTAAAAGTCTACCTGTATTGCTTTTATTTAATGAATGACGTATTTGGGACTGCGGTTGAGCCAGAGCTCGATTCGCGGGCTTGCGTTTCTTGGATGTATGTGCGCACGCGTGTGTGCTTGTGTGTGAGTGTGTGTGTGTGTGTGT